CAGAAACTTGGTTGAACACAACACGTTCAAGATGTGAACAAAACGCATTCAAGGCACATGAAAAAAGAACATAGAAATACCAGGCTCCCATTACTTCTCTTTCTTTGCACTGAGCAATTCATTTACTTACACAAGCCTGTTTACATTATTTGCTGGACAGGGCAGCTCACTTCTTCTGAGCATGCAAAATGTGCATTTATTATTTATTATGACATTTGTTTGCCTCTCTGTGCCCACATACTGTAATTTGATGCAGCCAAATTCTCAATAAAACTTTTCATTTATATATTTGACTGTTTCTGTTGTCAGACAACGCGCGTTAATCTTTTGTGCCATTAAAATACCAATTTTATGAAATAAATTTTAACAAGAATACATTATCTAAAAAAACAAAAAAAAACTTTGGTTTTATTTTTCAGCTTGTTGATGCTTATACAAACTCAAAGACTCATCTCCTGAGCCACTGCACAAAGGAACAAAATGTAAACAACACAATAAATCAGTGCAAATAGTTTTAATAAAGCTCAAATAGTCTTCAGTTTACACATCTGTTAGGCTACATTTACACTAGTGCGTGTTCGTTTTAAAACACATAGCTCAGACAGAATCATGATTTCTATTTATTTTCCACTGATTTACTGATGAGCATTAGCAGCTTCCAGTGCTGTCTGCTTGTGCTCTCTCTTCCATGATCGCTGCTCTGAGGTAATAACATGTCTAATTTCAGCAACATTACATGGCCAAAACACACATTAGACGGCAATCGGAAGTTATTACAAACACTCGATGGTGGTTTAAAGTGAGTTTTGAGTAAAAGCGGAATATAAATCTTATTTATTGTCTTGAATGAATGGTCACATAACACGCACTTTCGGTCGTGTAGTATGAACGGACATCTGCATATGATGGGAACTCCACGCAGCTCCCGCGCTACTCTCCATTGGAAATGAATGACTGAATGACCGGTCTGTCGTTTGTTGGAGATAGTGGAAAGCCGGCTTGAAACGCAGTGGAAACGCCAGTATGACGAGGATCGCTTTCATTTAAAAAAATAAACGCACCAGTTTAAATGTAGCCTTACATCTATGGGGGCTGGGACGCATTCACACTACAGCCTCCCGTGTGCGCCACATCTCTTGAGTGTAACCGGTGTAAACTAGTAGGTGTGTTCGACTTGACGCGGACCGACTGTGCAGACCGATCCGTGTATTACAATACCATGAGAGCTATAGAGAGAAGACCGTGCGCTTTCGAATCGCTCTCGCGGATGTCAAACACTGATCGATCTGCGCCGCACCTCTTCTAGTCGAACACACCGGCTAGTGCTGCAGGCTTAAGGCCAAAGTATACTTCGACCGTCCGCGTCCACATTACGTCGTTTTCGTCATCAGGAGGGCTCACAGACAGCCGTGCACCCCATCCGCGAGCAAGGAATTTTTTGAGACTGCGCGGATGGTCCGCGTACAACAGCGCATGCGCGAGGTGAAAGTTGAGACAGAGCGCAAGTCAAATGGCGCTTTTCCACTGCATGGTACGGCACGGTACGGCTCGGTACGGTTCACTTTTTGAGGGTTTTCCACTGGGTACAGTACCTGGTACCTGGTACTTTTTTTAGTACCACCTCGGTTGGAGTTCCAAGCGAACCGTACCGTTACCAAAACATGACGTGTAAACTCTGCTGATCACGGATTGGCCGGAGTAAATCATCACTGAACTTGCGACATGAGACACAAACAGACCCGCTAGATTTAAATCAGCACAGCCAGCGAAGGATCGAACGCAACTGTTTTGAACGAGCGCACCTTTTTTTAACAACCAAAAAGTGGCTGTTCCCCCTGTTGCGGAAGAACAGACGTTCCTCTCGTTGATAGCAGAGGAGCGGATCCAGCGAGAGCTTGATGGGGCGATGCGGAATGAAAACGTTTTTTAGGAGTCGTAGAGGCGGCGCAACTATAACGACATGTGAATAATCCCACCCACTCTAAAGCGATACTAAACTGCAGTGGAAGCGCAAACCGAGCCGTGCCGTGCCGTACCGAGCCGTACCGAGCCGAGTCGTACCACGCAGTGGAAAAGCGCCAAAACTGTGCCTGTGTCGAGCTAGTCCGGCTGAGCGCATGACGGAACGGAATGCGGAAAGTGAAGTATACCCGGGCCTTCATTGGCTCACGGACACTGATGAGATTAACCCCTTAGGTATTGAAATGTGGTACCGAACAACGAGACGTTTTTCGATACTCGATAGTATCAAGGCAATTCGGTCGGTGCCTAAAAAGTATCGAACTCGATACCCAGCCCTATGTAGACATCCTTAATCTCTAATAACTCCATTCTGCTGTCTGCGTTTCTTTGTCTGAACACGAGTACTGGAGCGCAGTTATAATCCCTAATAATTATTATAATTGTAATATTATATAAATTGTAATAATTATTTTAAATGATATTAAAATAAATAAATGATGTGTACTAAAAAGTATATTTCAGTTTCTTTATATACTTTTTACATTGAATTCAAATGGTGCTGTATTTGAAACTTTCACTTTTACAAAACCTTATTTTGTGCATAAATATAATTAATTTCAATTGATTTCAAAATGTTTTTACTTGCATGTAATATTGAATTTTATTTCATACTGTATAAAATAAAATATATTACTAGTAGTAGTGTTTTCAATGTTTGTTTAATATACATTCTATTTTTAACAAGGCCATTCATATCCTCCTGACTACCAGGAAAAAACAGTTTTGTGAATTTGGTATTTTGTCATGTCATTACATTGTTTAGAGCATAAAAAATAAAACGTTCATTTATTATTTGTAGAGGACATCGGGACTTAAAAAAGTTCTGTTTTAAAACAAATAAAAAGACATGAATAAACATGAAAAGGCAAAAACAGTGGGATTTTTGTTTTAATCACAAATACATTTTAATTTTTTTTTACACCAAACTTTGTATAAAGATGATTCTCAACTATGTTATGAAAGATATTTTTAAAAACCATTTTTCTTTATGCAAAATGTGTGTAAAATGGCCATAAACGAGTTTTCCCATTATATACAATGTATCTATAAACTGTATCTAATTTGCATATCAATGTGTTTTTGGGGTAACATAGAATGAACAAATAAGTGCAATAATGGGAGTAATAATTAGCAAGATTTTCATAATATTTAATAGGAATATATATATATTTTTTCTCTTTTCATTTGTTGTGTCTCCCAAAATGTGTAATAAACATGCTTTAAGTCCTGGTGTCCTCTACAGTGGACATGAATGGGTATGAAACTGATGTCCTGTTTCATAACAGAAGCTCATATTTTGATTTGAAACCCCATAACATTTTCCTGAGATGTTGATTTATGACAAACAATTAGAAAATTAGTCAGATTTAAATGATAATTACAAAATATTATCATATTTCCATAAGGGTGTTACACTTGATCACTAAATTTATGTCAGTCATTTTTAAAGACCAAGGAGAGAGGGAGTGGTCATGGTGTAACATCCAATCATTTAGTATCTCTGAAAAGTCCCATCCAAAACTCACGTCATTATTTATGCTGACGCATCGGGCCGCTCAAACAAACAGATCAATGTTTTAAAAGCGTCATGGTATTTCCCTTTTCAGGATGTCAGACTATTAATGACTGACTCCTGACACACTAAAAACTGTTATAACATCCAGAAAACGCCATGCTTCCCCTTTAAACCTCATGATCAGGAGAGAGTCTTCCTGCAGAATTAAACTACACCTTGCTTCCTGAAGCTGCATGTATTGTGCGGCATGCTAACAGACTCTCTCTGACTCTGTCTCTCGTTTGCATGCAGTAGTTGATGATTCACAGAGTCACGGCAAACCAGACGCTGTCTCTTTAAATACAGCTGCTAGCTCTGCGAGTTGTTGTTGTTGGCGTAGTGTTTTGCGTCGCTCTCTGACTCCTCCTCACGACTCTCAGCAGAATCACAGCATTCAGAAAGAAAGTAAAGCAAATGAACGGCCGTGACATGTGCTCCTGGGGTTTGCTGATGCCCATCCTGCTGCTCATCTGAGGTCAAAGGTGGCTTCTGATGAAATAAAAGGAAAAGACGTGGGTGTAGCAGTCGTTTGAAAATGTCGTTTAGTTTAGTTAGTCATTTTGTTAGAATGTGGATCTTGTCCTTATTAATGGATTCTCAAGGTGCACCAAGTCTTTTTTTATTTTAATTTGATTTTTTTCACAACATTGCCATGGGTTCCTGCAGTCAAGAAAGACCTGGAAACACCAGGGCCTGAAAACATTATTCAAATCAATTAACAATTAACTTTTTCTTTCTTAGTAATGCACAGCTCTCATAATATTCATATTAAGCTCAAATTCATTATTTATGATATTATTCTACCGGTCAAAATTTTTGATATTTTTTTTCATGGCAGCATTTATTTGGTCAAAATACAGTAAATATTTTAATATTGTAAAATATTATTACAACTTAAAATAACTGTTTTCTATTTGCATATATTTTAAATGTAATTTATTCCTGTGATGCAGTGCTGAATTTTCATTGCTTAACTTCTGAAGGATCATGTGACACTGAAGACTGAAGTAATGATTCTGAAAATTCAGCTTTGCATCACGGGAATAAAATACATTTTAAAGTATATTCACATAAAAAATAGTTTTTTGAATTGTGATAATATTTCACAATATTATATTTTTTTATCAAATAAATGCAGCCTTGGTGAGCAAAAGAGACTTCTGTCATTAAGTATCAATTATTCCTTATAACTTAATTGGTACAAACAACTGGAACAGTAACACGTTTGCATATAATAATTATGAAATATTTTGAAGTTAAAAATAGACCCGCTTGTGTCTAGCATTCATTTCTTCAAGCGTAAAACTTTATTTTTTATTTTTTGCAAATGGAGACAAATGACTTTATGACTAAAATGACATCAAATAATGTTTTCTCATTGAAGTGCTCATCCATCCTCTGTTTCTCTCTTCATTTTCTAAAGGTCATCTCTCCAGACTGTCATGAAGATGTGACGATGAAGAAAGACAACGTTTTTGTTCGCTCCTTCAAAGATGGAAAATTGTGAGTAACTTTCAAATGAAGTTATTTCAGTCCGTGCTTCTACTTTTAGCGCTCGAGCTGCAGAAAGTCAAGCTATGAAAGCGGCACATGTGCTTTTATTTCACAGCATTGTGTCTGTTTATAGCTGTGATTTTACAAAACATCCATTAAATGTGGCGGAAAGCAGAAAGCTAAAAAAACGAGGAAAGATGCCACTGCTGGGCATCATGTAATGAAGACCGTCAGAGAATATTGTAGTTAAACGCCCATCTCAGATTAACCTTCTGAAATCAATTTATACTGCCGCGGCCGAAGGCATTCAAGCGTTATGCTGAGAAATGTCTGCTTATGGAGATATTATTTTGTTAAACCTGTGAGAACCGCCAATATACAGACCGGAGCTTCTGATGATTCAATAACTAGACAGATCATTTATAATGTCGTGCTTCTATGGATTGACAACAGTCCCTAAATTGCCTGGATGCTGGTAATCGGTTGCTAAGGTGCTCTAATTGAGGTTGCTAGGGTGGTTACTAGGTGGTTGCTTAGTCCCTAATATGTCATTTATGATTTTGGTGCATTAACACAAACAGATAATAACATCTCAAGCTTCATGTATGAAAATGTCATAAAACACACACACACACATACATATATATATATATATGTATATGTGTGTGTGTGTGTTTGTGTATAAATATAGTCTATGGTCTACTGTTCAAAAGTTTGCGGTCGGTAAGATTTATTTTTGTTTTTGAAGTCTGTTTTGCTCACCAAGGCTGCTTTTATTTCATTAAAAATGCAGTAAAATCAGTAATTGCAATTTAAAATAGCTGTTTTCTAAGTTAATATATTTTTAAAATATAATGTATTTCTGTGATGCGCAGCTGTATTTTCAGCATCATTCCTCCAGTCTTCAGTGTCACATGATCTTCAGAAATCAGTATAATATGCTGATCTGCTGCTCAAGAAACATTTCTGATTATTATCAATGTTGAAGACAGCTGTGCTGCACAAAATTTTTGTGGAAACCGTGATGCATTTTATTTTTCAGGATTCTTTGATGAATAGAAAGTTCAAAAGGGCAGCACTTATTTGAAATAGAAATCTTCTGTAACATTATAAATGTCTTTACTGTCACTTCAGATCAATTTAATGCATCCTTGCTAAATAAAAGTATTGTTTTCTATAAAGCACTTTTGAACTGCAGTGCATAAGTGTTATTTCACAATGAAAAGCTTGAGAGTTGCACAGGTTACCTGTAGCGCTGGGTTTCTGTGCACATCTTCACTGCTCCCTCTAGTGTCGGCCGCGGCATAGTAATGACATCACTGGCCCATGTAGATTTCTAAATATTCATGAACAAAGACATGTCTGCTAGCTAATAATCACCTCTTAATTCCCTCAATAAAGCAGCTGCTGAAGGTCTGTGACTTCATGCATCCACTAAAACCCACCAAAACAGCAGCTGATTCAGAGTTTGAGCACACATGCAGTAATAAATACCATCTTGATATTTCAGCTATGATTTTTAGGTGTCCAAATGCTTTTAAGGGGATGTTGGATAAGACCTGGTTTATGTTCTTATTCGGTTGCTAAGGTGCTCTGGATGGTTGCTAGGGTGTGAGACTTACTGATTGGTTGCTTTTCCGAATAGAAAGAGCCTAATTTCATATCTGGTGCCGAGAAATGGCCTGTTCCTTAATTACATGCTGTTTTCCCAGGATAAAGGTTTTGGCATTTGGTGAATTTTTTTAAGAAACAGTGTGATGATGCTGATTTGGTGGATGTCTGGAATAAATTCTTAAAGTAGTGCATTCATGTTTTTGCAAGCAATGAAATGCAATAAAAAGTGTAATCGATATTCACTGTAATCTATACAGCAGTGTGTTGAATTATGATCAGTAACTCACTCAAAGATGATGCTATTTATTATGTGTTCTCTCATATGTGATGAATCACTGCTAACAGTGTTGTATTTGATCTTATAGTTACACAGTTTTGCGGAAAGACATTCGAGTGCTGGATGAAGAGAAAGCTCCTAAAGCGGACGCAGGACTCAGACCAGGTGAGAAACAGTGTGACGCGCAGATCAGTGTGTATTCAGGGCAGGGGTATTATCATTAAATAAAAAACATTTTCATTGCTTGGAATAAAATAAACATTTAGTGAAATAAGTAAATATATAAAAATATTTTATTTCAGTAGTTTAAGTGGAAGTACTAAATAAACTAAAACTAAAAACTACAACTTACTAAAATATATATATATTCATTAAAAAACTATAGACATGCTTAAAAGGGTCATATGATACGATTAAAATGTTTCCTTTCTCTTTGGAGTGTTACAAGCTCTTGGTGCATAAAGAAGATCTGTAAAGTTGCAAAGACTAAAGTCTCAAATCCAAAGAGATATTCTTTATAAAAGTTAAGAGTCAGCCACACCTACCTAAAACGGCTCGTTCTAACACGCCCCCACATGTCTACGTCACTATGTGGGAAGATTTGCATAACGCCGCCCAAATGTTCACGCAAAGAAAGAAGGCATAACTTTTATTCTCGCTGTAGTATTGTTGCTGCCGCCATGTCGTGAAGACGCTGTGTTTCGTTGTGAAAGCGAAAACTACTTTGTTTGGTCTTCCAAAAGAGGACAGGACTAGAAATCAGTGGTTAAGTTGTATTTACAACACTGTTCCAGAACACTTCAACCCAAATATTCAGATGTGTGCAGCACATTTTATGGAGGACTGTTTCCTGATCCTGGGAGAGTAGACTACAATGCTGGTTCTGTCTCTATAAAGTGGGGCAATTCCAACTTTGCAAGGACAGTCTGGCGCTTCTGACTCACAGCCTGTAAGTACGTTTTCATTTAAAGAATTTGCCACTGATGATTCAAACGTGAGTTTTGGGCAGTGTAGAGTAGGGCTTGTTGTTTGTCATTTCTCCGATCACAAATGCAGACATGGTTTTATGTTTACGCGGCGCGATGCAACGCAAAGCGTAAAAAGACAGTATAAGTCATTATAATCCATAATTATGTCCCCACTGGATGCAACGAATGCCTCGTTTATAATGGGTTTTAATGTTTTTGTCTCGTTGCTCCGGCCGGACAGAGCATCACAGTATGGTGAGGGGCGTAACATTTCCGTCACACGCTTGAGGTATTCGGCCAATCACAACGCACTGGATAGCTGGCCAATCACAGCACACCTCGCTTTTCAGACCAATGAGCTTTGTAAAAATCAATGCGTTTCAGAAAGGCGGGGCATAGAGGAGAAACATTAATGTACAGTATGTGGAAAATAATGTGTTTTTTGAACCTTAAACCGCATAAACACATTTCATTACACCAAATACACAAAATAATGTTCTTTTTAGCAACATCATATGACCCCTTTAATAAAATTAAATAAAAATAGCAAAATACTAATAAAAATGACAAAAACGCACAACAAAATTATCAAAACTTTAAGCAAAATTAAAATGAAAACACAAGAAAACACAAAAATAAAATCGAATTCAAAATATTAACAAAAAATACAAATAATTTGTAAACATTTAATTTCCCCCCCCTGAATTTAATAATGAAATGTGGCTTATGCACCAATGCAACATCTCTTTTTTTTATTTTTTTTTTATTTTTTTACTCTCAACAATGCTTTTTTGACCCGATGTACACAATATGCATATTCTGCCATAAACATAATATATATGTTTTCTATAAACATAATCAACATCTTTAAATAAATTCTTTTTATATTTATCCAGTTTGATTGCCATTTGCAAAGCTTCTTTGTTGTAGTTCTTTCCCCCATTAAAGCTGTGAAGTACAGAGTCTTGTATCTTTCTTTTTGTCCGATTTTCAAATACTTTTTTGCTTTAATCAAAGTTTGTAATGTTATATTTCGCCTTGTAGCTGCTTAGTTTGGTTCATGGCTTAGAACTCTTTAACAAATACTTTTTTTTTTTTTTTAATCCCTATGGAGAGAAAGAATGTGAAAAATACTTCCTAAGCCAAGGCCTCTGAAAAAGTGGTGGGCCGGAACGTTGAAAGTGGAAATAAATGACGGACCAAACAAGGGATTTCAAGTCACATGCAGCTCGTTTTAATTCCATTCTCTGTGTTTGTGTTTCACAGCGTTAGATGCAGCGTGGAATTTCCAGCGTAACGGCACTGTGCCCAACACGTGGAGGACAGAGGTGAAGGATGAAAGCTCCAGCAGTGAGGAAGAGGATGAGGAGGACGAACAAGAGGAAGAGGCCAGCAGAGAGGAGGAAGAGGTGACCGCACCATTTATAATCATAAAGCATGTGCTGGGGAGAAAAATTGCCCTTTGTTTGGTTTGACGTCACTCAAATATTCAAAATCAATGGAAGCTTGTTTTCGCCACCTGATTTAAAAAAAAAAAAAAAAATCATTGCAATTTTTGTCTCTCATTTCTGATTTTTTCCCCCCTCACTTTTCTGTCAAGATATAAGATATAAACTCAAAACGGCAAGATAGAAACTTAGAATTGTAATTGTGAGGTGTAATAGTTCATTTGGAGTTTAAAAACGTATGTGAGATAAAACCTCGGAATTGTGAGTAAAAATGTCAATTGTGAAAACTGAAATTTTCTCTTATATTTTGTGGCAGAAATAAAAACAGTTGCGAGATGTAAGCTCACAATTGTGAGGGAAAAGTTATTTTGAGATAAAAATGACCTTTTTAGTTTTTTATTTGGTGGCACAAAAAACCCTGATGAATTCTGTGGAAAAAGACTTTCAGTTTCCACTTAATTGTAAGACATAAACTTGGAATTACCTTTTTTTATTTGACATTTTATGGTAAAAAAAAAATGTAAACCGAATTACTGGATGTAAACTCAGAATTGCAAAAACAAAGTCAAAATTGTGAGGGGAAAAAAGTTGCTGTTACATTTTTTAACATTTTTATTCTGCGGTGGAAACGAAACAAAGCAACAAAAAAAAAAACGAATTCTGAAGGGGAAAAGTCAAAATTCAAAATAAATGTAAAAAAAAATTATTTTACAATTTGTGGCAGGAAAAATTAATTTCAAGATATAAACTCATAATTTTGACAAAAAAATAGAATTGCTAGATGTAAACCTGCAATTACAGAAAAAAGGTCAAAATTGTGAGATACAAAATCAGGAATTTTGAGATAAAAAGTAAAAATGACCTATTTTATTTTGTGGTAGAAACAGAATAAATAAATAAAATGAAACTCAGAATGAAGTCTAAGAAAAAAAGTCAGAATTGCAAGATATAAACTGGAAAGTACTTATTTTTGACAGAACATTTTTTGAATTTGCAATATGTAAACTCGCAGTTCTGAGGGAAAAAAGTCTGAATTGTAAGATAAGATTTTATTGATTTTTTAAATTGTGTGTATGGAAAGTTTCTATAAACACTGAATGCGATTGAATGAGGAATCTGCTGAAGCAGCACTAATGTTTATGTTCGTGTGAGCTTTCACTCTTACAGCACGAGCTCCTGTCATCAGCCGTCTGTTTACCTTCATTTATTGACCACAAAATATCCCCTTTGAGTTGAAGTGGCGTATTTAGTGATAGATGAACAGCTTGTGCGTGTGATGACAGGTTTCGCTGTTACTCAGACTTGTGACGGCTGACGTGTGTGTGCAGTCAGAGTTACATAAACTAGATTACAGAGGAAAAACACATTGCAGCCAGACCGTTTTCATAACAGCGTTTTAAGAAGCTATTTTTTCCAACAAGTAGCAACCGAACATTACATGGCTATCCTTTTATGTGCAGCTTTACGAATTATGCAGCTGCTTGTTGTCTCTTGCAAATGAATCACTGGAGGTCTGATTCATTTAAGCAAATCGGTTCATTTAATTGATTCTTTAAAAAAAAAAGAGACACTGAATCATTTGAGCCCTCGCTCGCCATTGTATGCTTGCCTTGAGCATCAGAATAATTAGTTAAACCCTGTTATTTATCCCTGTTTTCAGCTTAGTTATTTTGATTGGGGGGTTTTTGTTTTGTTTTGTTTGTGTTATTAGTTCGTTTAGTTTTTTGCCATTTTCTGTTATATATTGCTGATTGGGGTTGGTATGTTTTTTGTTTTTAGAATTAAATTTTATTAGGTAAGAATGCATTAAATTGATTAAAAGTCCGTAAAAACATTTTATAATGTTACAAAAGATTGCATCACAAAACTATGAAGCAGCATAACAGTTTTCAACATTGATAATAATCAGAAATGTTTATTGAGCAGCAAATCAGCATCTTAGAATCATGTGACACTGAAGACTGCAGTAATGATGCTGAAAATACACAGCAATAAATTGCATCTTACAATATATTCAAATAGAAAACAGCTATTTTAAATTGTAAAAATATGTCACAATTTTTACTCTATTTTTGATCAAATAAATGCAGCCTTGGTGAACAGAAGAGACTTCTTTCAAAAACATTCAATCTTTCTTACCATAAACGTTTGAACGGAAGTGTATATTTGTAAAGATATCGTCCTCTTAAGTAGCTTCAGTGTACTTAACTACTTTTAGTTAGTAGCTCGTAGTGTAGCTTAACTAGTTTTTTAAAAGGCACCTTTGAATGACACCCAACTCTCTGTGTGTGTGTTTCCTGTACGCAGGAGGAAGTAGAGCCGTTCCCAGAAGAGAAGGACAACTTCCTGCAGCAGCTTTACAAATTTATGGAGGATAGAGGTGAGCAGTGTTATTTCAGTATTATTTTTTATACTATTGTAGTTTAATATCTTACTTAAGTGTGTTTTAGTCATGTGCTTGTGCTTTTTCATTTTATTTTATTTCAATCACCGAAAGTGATTTTTAACAATAGCAAGCTCTAGCAGTCAAAGGAGTGCAAAAAGACTTTCAGTTTCCACTTAATTGTAAGACATAAACTTGGAATTACCTTTTTTTATTTGACATTTTATGGTAAAAAAAAAATGTAAACCGAATTACTGGATGTAAACTCAGAATTGCAAAAACAAAGTCAAAATTGTGAGGGGAAAAAAGTTGCTGTTACATTTTTTAACATTTTTATTCTGCGGTGGAAACGAAACAAAGCAACAAAAAAAAAAACGAATTCTGAAGGGGAAAAGTCAAAATTCAAAATAAATGTAAAAAAAAATTATTTTACAATTTGTGGCAGGAAAAATTAATTTCAAGATATAAACTCATAATTTTGACAAAAAAATAGAATTGCTAGATGTAAACCTGCAATTACAGAAAAAAGGTCAAAATTGTGAGATACAAAATCAGGAATTTTGAGATAAAAAGTAAAAATGACCTATTTTATTTTGTGGTAGAAACAGAATAAATAAATAAAATGAAACTCAGAATGAAGTCTAAGAAAAAAAGTCAGAATTGCAAGATATAAACTGGAAAGTACTTATTTTTGACAGAACATTTTTTGAATTTGCAATATGTAAACTCGCAGTTCTGAGGGAAAAAAGTCTGAATTGTAAGATAAGATTTTATTGATTTTTTAAATTGTGTGTATGGAAAGTTTCTATAAACACTGAATGCGATTGAATGAGGAATCTGCTGAAGCAGCACTAATGTTTATGTTCGTGTGAGCTTTCACTCTTACAGCACGAGCTCCTGTCATCAGCCGTCTGTTTACCTTCATTTATTGACCACAAAATATCCCCTTTGAGTTGAAGTGGCGTATTTAGTGATAGATGAACAGCTTGTGCGTGTGATGACAGGTTTCGCTGTTACTCAGACTTGTGACGGCTGACGTGTGTGTGCAGTCAGAGTTACATAAACTAGATTACAGAGGAAAAACACATCGCAGCCAGACCGTTTTCATAACAGCGTTTTAAGAAGCTATTTTTTCGCAGCACTAATGTTTATGTTCGTGTGAGCTTTCACTCTTACAGCACGAGCTCCTGTCATCAGCCGTCTGTTTACCTTCATTTATTGACCACAAAATATCACCTTTAGAGTTGAAGTGGCGTATTTAGTGATAGATGAACAGCTTGTGCGTGTGATGACAGGTTTCGCTGTTACTCAGACTTGTGACGGCTGACGTGTGTGTGCAGTCAGAGTTACATAAACTAGATTACAGAGGAAAAACACATTGCAGCCAGACCGTTTTCATAACAGCGTTTTAAGAAGCTATTTTTTCCAACAAGTAGCAACCGAACATTACATGGCTATCCTTTTATGTGCAGCTTTACGAATTATGCAGCTGCTTGTTGTCTCTTGCAAATGAATCACTGGAGGTCTGATTCATTTAAGCAAATCGGTTCATTTAATTGATTCTTTAAAAAAAAAAGAGACACTGAATCATTTGAGCCCTCGCTCGCCATTGTATGCTTGCCTTGAGCATCAGAATAATTAGTTAAACCCTGTTATTTATCCCTGTTTTCAGCTTAGTTATTTTGATTGGGGGGTTTTTGTTTTGTTTTGTTTGTGTTATTAGTTCGTTTAGTTTTTTGCCATTTTCTGTTATATATTGCTGATTGGGGTTGGTATGTTTTTTGTTTTTAGAATTAAATTTTATTAGGTAAGAATGCATTAAATTGATTAAAAGTCCGTAAAAACATTTTATAATGTTACAAAAGATTGCATCACAAAACTATGAAGCAGCATAACAGTTTTCAACATTGATAATAATCAGAAATGTTTATTGAGCAGCAAATCAGCATCTTAGAATCATGTGACACTGAAGACTGCAGTAATGATGCTGAAAATACACAGCAATAAATTGCATCTTACAATATATTCAAATAGAAAACAGCTATTTTAAATTGTAAAAATATGTCACAATTTTTACTCTATTTTTGATCAAATAAATGCAGCCTTGGTGAACAGAAGAGACTTCTTTCAAAAACATTCAATCTTTCTTACCATAAACGTTTGAACGGAAGTGTATATTTGTAAAGATATCGTCCTCTTAAGTAGCTTCAGTGTACTTAACTACTTTTAGTTAGTAGCTCGTAGTGTAGCTTAACTAGTTTTTTAAAAGGCACCTTTGAATGACACCCAACTCTCTGTGTGTGTGTTTCCTGTACGCAGGAGGAAGTAGAGCCGTTCCCAGAAGAGAAGGACAACTTCCTGCAGCAGCTTTACAAATTTATGGAGGATAGAGGTGAGCAGTGTTATTTCAGTATTATTTTTTATACTATTGTAGTTTAATATCTTACTTAAGTGTGTTTTAGTCATGTGCTTGTGCTTTTTCATTTTATTTTATTTCAATCACCGAAAGTGATTTTTAACAATAGCAAGCTCTAGCAGTCAAAGGAGTGCTTGATGATATGCATATCTTGAAAGTCTCTCTGTATAAAGCATCTGCCGAATGCATTCATGTTTAAGAGGTTTCTGTGCTGTTCTGTTCAGGAACTCCTATCAATAAGCGACCGGTGCTGGGCTACAAGAATCTCAATCTTTTTAAACTCTACAGGCTGGTGCATAAGCTCGGAGGATTTGAGAACGTGAGTTTGATTTTATTTGACATGGTCTGCTGCTCCGTCTGCGTTAGCTTTGACTCGTGTTCCCTGTGTTTCAGATCGAGAGCGGATCTGCCTGGAAGCAGGTGTATCAGGATCTGGGCATCCCCGTGCTCAACTCCGCAGCCGGTTACAACGTCAAATGTGCCTACAGAAAGTACGTGCATCCTTCATAAGCCCCTGACGACAGTGACCGCAAACCGTGAGCTGCTCATTGTAAAACGTTTGAGAAGAACAAGCACTGAATGCACCTGTTCTGTCTCTTGTCTCATGTTACTAAATGTGGCACACGTCTTCTATCCAGGGTTATTGTTGTTTACGACAACTATTAAAACAGTTTTCTTCATTGAACTAAAGCTTAAATAAAATAAACTATAAATATTAAATGAAAATCTTCAGTTCAGTTATTTTCCAAGGCAACATTTATCATTTTTGTTTAGTTTAAGAAGCATTAATTACTAGCTGGACATTAAAAAAAGCTAATAAAAATTATGAAAAAAAAAAAAAAACGTATAATAAATATAAATATTACATGAAAATAGATATTCAGTTATTTGCCAAGGCAACATATATCATTTTCTTTTAGATTAAGCTGAAGCACTAAATACAGACTGGACATAAAATAAAAACTAAAACTGATTATAATAAAATTTATAAAAATAAAATGCAAAATATAAAAAATATTTAAAAGAAATACAAAAATAAAATAATTTTAAACCTTAAATAATAGCATAAAAAAATAACACTAATAATAAAATGAGAAAAGTGCAAAAGTCGTTTACTAATTGTAACAAATTAAAATTAAATCTGAAATTATAAAAGTATAAAAACCATTTCAAAACATTAATAAAAACTGCAATAGTATATAAAAAAATACTAAAATAACGCTGCCTCGCTCAAAGCCTATAGCGCCACCAGCATTTCAACGTTTCATGCTAATTTTAGCTTATGATTTTTTACTAAATTGCTCAATTTGGATCAGATCATCTGAAGACCTTTCTGGTCAATTTATTATTGATATACCTGTCAGCAATTAGGTGATTTAAGGTGCAGTGATGATAAGTTGACCATAGTTTTACATCATGTGACGAGGTAATCTGTGATGTTGAACCTGCTGCAGGTATCTGTATGGCTTTGAGGACTTCTGCGCCTCCACGGCAATCACCTTCCGCATGGATCTGCCGTATAAGACGGCCGAGAAGACGAGCTCAAAGAGCGAGGTGAACGCGGAGGAAACGGCCAGCACTTTAAGCACATCCAGCGCAGGAGAAGAACAGAAAGCCCTTAAAGAACCAGAGACCTCCAGCACGCAGCATGTGGTCAAGGTACTGAAGCATCGTCTCAGGGTGTGTCTGATACGGCAAACTAAACATACGTCTCATGCTGCGTCTGTGCTGCATGCATTGAATACACAACCATTATCTACTGCATCCTCAGTCCTACTTCACATATTTTCAGATAATTTTCAAACAGCTGTATAATTTATAATTTATTTTATAAATATGTGATATAATGTAAGATCACATTTGATTAAAATGTGAAAAAATAAATATATATTCACACTTTTAATCAATTATATATATATATATATATATATATATATATATATATATATATATATATATATATATATA